AGTGATGAAGAGCAACAAATACAATTTTATGGTTGGGGGGGGGGGTCACCACAACCTGAGGAACTGTAGGAAAGGGTCCCAGCAGGAGGAAGGTGGAGAACCCCTGCTTTAAGCCATTGCTCAGGCTCCAGTTGAGTGCCTTAGTCAGACCGGATAGCGCCTGCCTCAGGACTAGAAATAACAGAAAACGCAGAGGCCATCAAGTGGATTCCAACTCCCGGTGCTCTCAGGCGTGTCAGCGTCGAACTGCACTCCTCAGTGGCTGGTCAGACTACCAGGCCTGGCTTGCCAGGCACCTCTGGCTGGAACTGCAATCTTCTGGTTAGCAGCCACGCGGGAAAACCATATGCACTGCCCACAGAGTCTTCCTCTGCACCACCTTCTGCCCTTGAGTTGATGGACTCATAGTGAACCCATACGACAGAGTAGAACTGCCCCTTGGAGTTTCCAAGACTTTAAATCTTTGTGGGAGCAGAAAGTCTCATCTTTCTCCCACAGAGCAGCTGGTGGAGTCAAACTGCTGACCTTGCGGTTAGCAATCCAACTCAGAGCCCACTGTGGCGCCACCAAGGTTCCTTAGCCCTGTACCAGGGACCATGAAAACAAAGATGAGTAAGATTTAGTCGCATCCCTGAGGTACTTGGGGTTTAGGAGACGGAGAGAAGCAATGGGAATGTTATTCATTCTCTTAAAAAAATCGTTTGTTCCAGAGTTCCAGCTAGACTGCCCAGAGCCCCACGGCCACCCAATGAATTCCCACCTCTGTCTTCTCTCCATGTTCCTCCATCCGCTCCCTTCTCCCTCCGACAGGAACTGAAGAGCAACCCACACTAGCAGGCCTCGTCCAGCATTCCCTCTGGGAAGACTCTACTCCTTGGACATCTCTCCTTCCCAGCCCTCCTCCAGCACTTAGTAACAAGAGCTCTCAACATCGGGGTCCCATCCCCACTCACTGGCTGCCCAGCGGTGTGTCTGATGTTGCTATTAACATTCGGATAGATGCGCCCCCTACCTGCCCCCAAAGGGACTATAAGACCTTTGTTAACAGTAATGATAATGATCACAATCGATCCCTTACATTGGAAGGGTGCTTTTGCCAAGGGCTTTCATATACATTAGCTCATTTTGGCAATAGCTCTTTTTGGCCTGTCTTGCCTCCCCAACTAGATTATAAACTCCTGACAGGCAGGGAAAGGTGAAATGTGATATATCCCTAAAATGCATGGCACCCCTTCTTTGCTTCGTTAATGTAATAGGAAGAATAGCCTTGTTAGCAAGGGCTTGTAGGCAGATAGCACCAAATGCCCCCTCTGCACTAACCCCTATGGGGCCAGCGCAGCCCCAGGGGAAAGGAATGCTTTGGGATGGAATGCATGCCTGGGGCACCTGGCCAGAGGCAGACCCACCCGCCAGACCAGCTAGAAGAGAAGAAACTGTGATGTTGGAGAGGCAGTGTCCTGGTCCACACAGGAGGTCTCCTGACCACTCCCAAACAGGCCTTTTCCTGGAATGTCCCGGGTCCTTAAGTCTGTGGACCAAAAGCTACATCACAAAAGTGCCTGTCTAAAGTGACATCAACCTGGTTCAAGAATCCCAACTCTTGTCTTGGCAGTGGGTGGTGAGTTGCCTCACTTTCCCCTTCTAAAAAAAACACAAAACAAACCCAGGTGATTCAACTGACCACAGCAACTCAAAAAAAAAAAGTTAGACCAGAAGCTCAAGGGGCAGTGAGATTATGTCAAGGATGGAGGGATCATTTGGAAAAGACGGGTGGGAGCGGCTGTCACTCAACTGCACCTGCAGGAGTTGTTGGCACAGTGTATCGTCTTGGTTCCCATATGTTCAACAACAACAAAGTAAATGACTAAATAACAGTAATAGAGAAAGAAGTCCCCAGGAAAGGTGCCTAGTATCAATTCACAACATGGTAAAAGGTATTACTATAAGGAAAGGCAAAAAGAAACATGGTTGAAACACCAAAATACAAGGCTTTGATGACTATGAGGGGGCCAGGGCCAGGGGTGGGAACAAGGAGAGGGGAGGGATAGGTTATTGAGGAGGGAGAACCACATCTATTGGAGCGCTTAATAGGATATTGCTGTTGCTTTAATTTGAGATGGCTTGTGTACATATATAGTGTTTCTTTCAAAAAAACAAACTTTGTAGATCCCTTATTCTGAAAACGTAAATAGCGATCTGAGTGGCTAAAAAGAAGAGGAAGAAAAGTAAAATTGAAATGGACTGGCGTCTTCAGTGACAAACGAGTTGATCTCAAACAACAAACAAACAGACAGTAGGAGACTGCGCCTTTGACCATCGAGCTTGAGAACAGGAACTGAACAGATGATGTATTTGGGCGCCTCCAGGTCGCGTCACTGAGTCTAGTATTTAGGATCACTGTTTCTTTGAATGGATAAGTGAATGGAGATGAGCTGATAGTACCCTGGTCCTTGGCTCCTTGATTGATATCTGGCTGCCCCTTCCCGTCCCCTGGAGAAACGCTCTGCTTCATCTATGGGCAAAGCTTCTCTTGACCACTGAACTCTTTCTCACTTCCCTGTGAGCCTTCGTTCATGCTAAAAGGCAGACTCACAGGCCTCCTGCAAGCTTTAAATAAGAGAGCATTTAAGGAACCCAGTGGGACTGATGGTCAAAGGCTGGTGTGAAGAAAGGCAGGTTTCCTTCCACGAAATCCAAACTATGAAGCGAAGCGTGGTCAGCATCCCGTGGAAAGGCAGAGCCAGCCATCAGAAGCAGAGGAGGGATTCTGAGAAGAGTGTCAGCATTCTAGGTGCTGGTAGCGTGGTCCAAGAACCCTGTCTTCAGGGTTTAGGTCCGTCATGCCAGGGTCTTGGTATGCTAGCGGAAGAGGGTTTGACAGACATACACTCCCACTCCATTGATGTTTCCCCTCTGCCCCCACAGAGGCTTCTGAAGAGTTTCCCACGAGGAAAGGGAGTACATCCACCTATGCAGCAGGACGGAGGAGTCAAAGGAGAGAGCAGATAAGGTAGAAGCGACATCCGGAGGAGGGAATGGTAATCAGAGATGTGGACCGAGGCCCCTCTCAGAATTGCCATCTTGGTATTGGAGAAACAGGGTTTCTCAGCACCCTGCAAGGAAGCGGCCATGTTTCTCCCAGAGGAGACAAACACCTCCTACTTCCCTGCAACACTAAGCAGGAGCCCCAAGCACTTCTGAAACGGGCGGGCGGATGAGTGAAAATAGCCAGGGAAGAAGAATGCAGTCATGTGCCACCTAGGGTGCAGAATATGGCCAGCACCCCCCACCCCCTTGCATAGATGGTCTTCTTGAGGGGAAAGCCCCTGCCCTCCCCAGCTAGCTCAGCAGCCCAGTCTCAAAACTGCCAGGGCAAATTTCCTGATGTGGGAGCCTGCTGCCCTTTGTCCTCCAGCCTGCAACCTGTCTACATTCCCCATCTGGCTCCTCAGCCACTCCCTCCCCTCCCTCAACCCCCAAGCTGTGAAGCTGTGCACCATCTTCGGCCTCTCTCCTGAGCCTCTCCGCAGGCCTGCAGCCTTCCCTCTGCACCAAGGCTCCACACCTCCACTCCTTACTGTCTCTTCCAGAGAGACCCAGCCCCAGCTGGCAAGATCTCCTGGCCCCAAAGCCCTAGAAGATAGTAAACAAAGAGAATTAGGGCCCTGGAGCTCAATGATAATAACCAAGATCCCCAAACCAAACCAAAGGAAGGAAGTTCCGGATTTATCTGGCACTCCGTGTCTCTGGCCGGTGTTAAATGATTTTATCCTCAGCACAGCTTGTGCAGTGGGTACTCCTACCCATTGTACAGACGGGAAAGCGAAGCTCAGAAGCTCGAGCAACATTTAAGGTCATAGTGTGCCAAAGGCACAGCTCCAAGTCTGTCCCACAGCAAAGCCTGCCTCTTAACTGGGAGGCTCTAATGATCCCAACCTGCTCCTTCTCCTCTCTTGGCAAGGCAGGGGGTAGAGTAGAGGGTGGGGGTGGGGTGGAAGGTTCAAAAGGAAGCTGATTCACCCAAAGCACAATAAACATTTTCATTTAAAGAAAGCTGCATGCTGGGGCCCTCTCTGGGGCATTCCAGTTGGGCTGGTGTTTGTTCTCAGGGGCATGGGCAGGGTAGACAGATGCTGCTCCAGGGCTGACCAAGCCAGAACCTGTTAGATGGGTGAAGTTCCTTCAACTCCAGTCTCTGAGGGAAGAGGGAAGGACTCTTCACAATTGATGAGGCAGAGACCCCAAAGAGAGAGAGGCCACCAACCCACTCCCAGAACAGGGCCCCACCCCCACCCCCGGAGGCCAGTCTGGGATGCCTGCAGACCCCCCCCCCCCCCTAACCCTAGGATCCAGCACCACCACATCACAGATGTTTCCAAATGGTGGGTTCCCCGCCTGCCTTCTCTCCCCGCATTCCTCCATCCTCCCCCACCAGCTTCAAAACAAATGCCTCATGCTTTCCTCCAGCTGGCCCAGTGGCTTCTCATCATCGCCAGTCTCCTCCAGGTGATCCACCTTGGGGATTACCTGCCTGAAGGTGCGCAGGAAATTCGATCCTGTGGGCCCCTCCTTCCCCTTTCTCCCTCCCCCCTCGTCCCCCCCCCCCCCCGTGCCTGAGTCCATACTGGGTTATTCCTGTGCTGAGGGTACCTGGGGACTCGGTCCCCACCCCACCCCCGCAACCTTGAGCCTCTCTTAGGAGATGTCATTTCAGGAGCGGAGAGGCAGCCGGCCCCAGCTCTGGGTACCCAGGCCTGCAGGCTGGAGGTTGTGGCGACCGGCTAGGAGACCTGGGGGCTACACCTGGCCCCTTTCTCTGAGCTTCCTGGGCAGGCTACCCCGGGAGAGTGCAGCGAGCGATCCCAGCCCTACTCACCTGCAGCCTGAGGCCCCCCACCCCGACAGGTAGCCCCTCGCCCGGGCCTGTCGCGCCAGCCACCGCCTCGCGCCCGAGGGGCTGGCTACCGGGAGGAGAAGGGTGCGGCGCCCCCGGCCCTTACCGATGGTGGAGATGTGCGAGGAGTGGAACTCGTTGTCGGTGAAGCGGCACAGCAGGCAGGTCTTGCCCACCCCGGAGTCCCCGATCAGCAGCAACCGGAACAGCACGTCGTACTGCTTCGCCATGGCTGGGGTCGGAGGGGGTCAGGGGGCGACGGGCTCAGGCCCGCTCGGCCGC